AACAAAGAGGGCTACCAGCACTTAATGTGTTTTAGTAAATCTGAACACTCAGGAGAGCTTTGAGTGTCCCCGGTGTGCATCTGCACCAGCTAACTTTCACACACTGGGGTTCAGGTGAATTCTGACTATACACAACTTTTCCCCACCCCTCACCACTCATCAGTACAAGAAGAAAATGSCTATTTCTTCTTTTCATAAAGTAAACTAAAATGAAATAAAATTCTATTTCCCCCTTTTCCCCTTACATGGCCTTATGATCTGGTTTGGAAAGACGCTTAAGTCTTCCAAGGGTGTGTTGCTGCAACAAGATGATAGATAATGAATGTGATAAGAAAAGCTGAGTTACAGGGAAAAAAATCACCTCTTGCCAAGAAGACCATCATAGTTTGAACTGTTAGGTCATGATTGTAAATAATTTCATGCATTTTAGCCTTTATAGCATTAACACAAATTGTTTCCAAATGCTCTAGACCTGCATGGCTCATGTCACTGGACTTGCCAGACACAAATCTTCCCTCCTCAGGAGAAGCGAAATAAACAGATAGATAGAAAATACTCCATKTGCACTGCTCTTCTGGAAAAATAGTCAGGTGGTAGAAGTGTGTGTACATCTTGAAGGAAGACCTTTTATTTCCTGTGCAGAAGGCTAACARGACATCCTGATCCAGGGGCATAAGTAGAGAGAACCCCAGCACTACTGACCTAAATAGGACAACAAGTCCCCCTTCAGCATCTAGAGAGGTTTAATTTTGTTAAGACACTGTTACAACAAGAAATCAGAGTTTCACCGAATAAACTAAATAACTCCCACATGTTTTAGATAGTTTCCCTTGGCCTCCTTCTCTTATGCATGTGCATCTGCACCTCTCAGCACTCAACAGCCCTTAGGAAGAGTTGAAATAAGAGATGCACAGAAAATCATTTATTAGGCATGCAGACATAGCATAGAAAAGGCAGGCAAGGTCTGCATTATCAGTAGTCAATAGTGTCTAGGGGAACACTGGATAATTTCTTAATGACATGACGAGCCCTAGTATTTACAAGGTAATATGATAACTTTTGGAATTGCTGCTAGTAAAGTGAGGCTCAGCCAACAGGGGAAGAAGAAGAAAGAAGCACAGATTTTAAGTCAGTCTACTAACTTTTTGGTAATTTTCCTGCCAATTCTTACTTCCTGGGAGACAGTGTGGGTAGTACTAACACTTGGTGTAAGCTGTAGCTTCCAACAGAAAGCTCTTTTCGTTTTGGAGATGTACTTGTTATGTCTGATGCTGTAGGAGGGAGACTGAATGGCAGAAAAAATCAGTTTCTCCTTCATGATAATGTTGAGAGCAATAAAAAAAAAAAAAAAACATAAGTATAAAATGACTACAGCGATAAAATCTAAATACTTTTTTACCACAAAGAGGTGCAATAATGATGAGCTTCTGTCCCACAGTGCTTTACAGTCAACAATTATCAAACACAACAGGAAGAAATAGATCAATGACAAGGAGGTTGAATTGTATTTGTGTCCCTCCACAACTTACAAGTCTCCTGTTTTGTTTTGTTTTTTCCCTTAAAGCCCAAACCAGTGCATAAAGCCTGCACTAAGTTAAACATGAAAGGTTTTTATATATCAAGAATCAATGGAATGACAACATAAAGAATCCTGTGTACAAAGTGACAGTCAAAAATATTGCTCAGTATGAGTTCACAGCTCTTGATTGTAAGACAGCAGTGAAATAATTTGTTTGAAATTCCTGCTAATATTTAGCAGATTGGACCCATGATAACYTTACATTTTATTCTCTCTGGAGCAGAAAAAAGCCTGTACAATATTCTCAAAATACCACATAGTAGATAATGAGTTCCAACCCAAGGCCTGGRTTTAAACAGCCTGGGATTTGGGATGCTTCAGCCTGAATTCCAGCTTACTGAATGAAACCACATGAACTTGAATTCCTATCTTTAMGAGATATTGGATACAAAATCGGTCCCAGATCCAATAAAAGATTCACAAAACTAAAACCAAAATTGAGATCTTAGAAAATTTTCTTTTTTATCTTTCAATTGCCCAAATCTCTGGAGCTGTCCCTTCAATGTCTTCATAGAGCAGAGTTCATCCCTAAATCTGAGATGCAGAAATGAGGACTGCCTCTTCCTGCTCAGGRTGAGGGGGACAATCCACTGTGACAATCTTAGAGCACATTTAACAAAACCATTTCCCTTACAGGACAGGAAGGCAGTGCACAGGTATTTTCTGAAATAGTGCRGCAACAATTAAATAATTGCTGAATTATTTTGAGTTGTTGAATTATTACACTATTATACAAATTATTAATTGAATACATCACAAAATGCTTGCCTCTGCTCCTGCGAAATGCATCCAGAAGACAATGCAGCACTCAAGATGGAAAGTCCTGGGACCAAGAGAAAGGAATGTCCACCTCTAAGTGAAGAGTCCATCTTCCAGTCCACACTTTTATGTGTTACATTTAGCAGATTTAGGATGAAATGGTATAAACCTGTAAAGGAATAACAATCTATAATTTTTGCTTTTACAYATCATCATTGCAGAGAAATTTTTCAATCTTCAGTATCACATCTACTTTTAATTCAGGGCTAGAARCAGCAGATTCTGAAGAAAGGTGACAAATGCAAGTTCATAAGTGGTTTCTGCTCACACTTTAACTTAGCAATAACGCACATTAAATGGGAAACAAAATCCTATCATTTGGAAACAAAAATCTAGTAAAGCCTGGTAAAAAGTACAGGTTTCTGTCCTAAATACAGACTATTTGAGCAAAAGCTATCCCTCCTCTTAGACTTAGTCATACAKCTACACATGTAACTGGGTGTACATTGGTCTGATCCCATTCATTTTGCTGAAATTACTCCAGAAGGAAATTATGGCCTGTCTAGTTCTTTCCTGGGAAAGCCCAAACATATTGTAGGCTAGGGGTGTAAACAAAAGATTCAAAACAGAGAGGAAAATCTATGATCAGCTTTTAAGTGCTTTGGTAAAGACTACACCTCTACTTCAAGACAGGAATAACTTGCCAGAAGCAATTGTTAAGGAAATGCCCCTCTGTATTGTCCCTGATCTCCTGCCTTATACTTCCACTGCCTTTTACATGCTGCTGCTGGYGATGGGCAGGAGAGGAGCCCTGGGTAGTCATTGCACTTCTCTCTCCAGCATTTCTTCCTAATTTCTGTCTTATGAATCCTGTGATCCTCTCTGCTCCTTAAGCACAAAGGGCAAGGTACAAACTCCCAGCTCCCCTTTGGGATAAGGATGTTGATTAGTTCCTAAAACATCTTTAAGGCCAAAGCTGTTGCTCTGCTAGTCCTGGGTTATCARGAACACAGATGAACAGCTGCCAGGACTTGTGCTTCCTCCAAGCACATTTTTGGGGTTTGGTGGTTTGGTTCTCTTCTTTAGCAGTTACTTGGAGTTCATAAGACTTTCCAACAGCTGAGACATCCTGCTTCACACATATGAAAACACTCACCCCCTCAGTCTGTGCTAGTCACCACACAGTTCAGCAGYTGATTGACCATTAAAAAAAAAAGGCCTTCTAGACATCAAAATAAAGTTTTTCCATTCAGATAGCCCTAAGACTTTAATCACATCCCAGCTAGACAGAATGAAAGATAATAATAAAAACTGGAGGAAAACTCAGGATTTCAGAATACCCTATGGGTGACTCCCACTGCCAGAAGGAGTGGACAAACTCCAGAATCCAGTGACCTGTGCCAAGAACACTAAGCAAGTAATATTTTGTTTAAAAGTGTGGGCTGATGTTGGCAAAAGGACTGCAGCTGCTGTAAATGTCACTTGTGCATGAAAGACAGAGGTAGCCACTTAAGCTATTAGCATTCAAAACATTTAAGGATTTATAGATCAAATGTGGCTTAAAGAGGAGATGCAGCCTGGCAGGCAGTGAAGAKCATGCAGTTCAGGTGGCACGTACTTTCTGCTTGGGAAATTCCCTTTCCTAAGCAGGCAGCTATGCCCTGCCCCAGCTGTAACCTCCAAATAGATTTCGGGTGCAACACATACTGCAAGCCTCAGGTTAAGAAACAAGGTGATGACTCTAATGAAAGCCAAAATAAATTGTCCCAGGCAATAATAAATATTCATGTAGTTAATCAAAGGCATTTGTGTCATCGCTGCTTGTGTGTGCATCCAGAAAATGATAGAGACATAAAACCTGAGGAGCAAACAGAAATCGTCCCTTATTCAGACAATATGAAACAGGTTCATCAGACATCATATACAGGTTCTGCTGCTTTTTCCAGTCCATAATCATTGTTTGATATTTGACTGAGCCAGGACAGCCATCTCCCATTTATGTTCAATTCCTACAGCTGTAGGATAAGTCATTGAGTTGCATCAGAGGAGAATCAGACACAATCACTGACCCTACACCTGCCGTGCCCACAGTCCCATGGATGAGCAGAAAGGGAGGGTGGTGTCTGCCTATGGGGCAAAGATTGCCAGACCCTGGCTTGCTGAGAATGCAGAGAATGAAGGTGCAGAAGCACATTACAGTGGTGCCTGATAGGCTGCCCATGACTAAAGTCTGCTGGCAATGTAAACCTCTGTCTTGACTTATTCAGGAGACACTGCTTCTGAAGATTAGCTGGCTTATCCTCTTAATAGACTTGACTCCCTCTGTCCTCTAGAGAGACACCTTCTTGTTTGGGATCTATAGGTCAAATTCCATTCACAAATCCCATGGGRATTCTTCAGACTCAGGGTTTACTCCTCCCTCTCACCTCCAACACTAGGTTTGGCAGAAGATGGATCAGCAGATGACTAAAGTAGATGGGCTGTTGTCATTGCCCTGCACTGCAAAATTTATAGTCCGGTTTCTTCCTATTGTGCTCATTTATTTGATTGAAAGTTKGATTAAAACTGATGTACAATGTGATAAACAAGAGCTGATAAACCTTCCCTGSGGGATTGCATCAAGTGTAGCTCAGTCTGACATGTGCCTGCTCCTGCCTTCCAGGATAGCTGGACTCCAGACACCAACATGACGGAACGCTTTGACTGCCACTACTGCAAAGAGTCCCTGTTTGGCAAGAAGTACATCCTGAAGGAGGACAGYCCCTACTGTGTGAAATGCTATGAAAATCTTTATTCCAACACCTGCGAAGAATGCAGAAAACCTATTGGCGCTGACTGCAAGGTATGCTGGATTTGTGTCTTGTTACAGAAATCTTGACAGAACAGTCTAGATACAGAGCTCTGAGACCTGGAAAGATCCAGCCTAACAGCTACACGGGGGTTTCTTTTGATGGGAGAGCACATTTTCTGGAGCCCTGTATCTGTTTGGTATTGTTTCCCTCCACAAACCCTTCTTTACCAGGCATGGTAAGAGAAATGCGTTGCTGTTAGGCACAGAGTGATCTGATGCTCTGATGTAAGAATTTCTCTTTAACTCATTGGGAGAGCCTGTCCTCTGTGCCACCTAGGATCTGGAAGGGTGACTGAAGCTGGTTTTGCCTACTTTTGGGTCAGAGGGAGCTAAGCCACTGCTGGCTTTGTGTGACCACACTTCYGTGGTCATCAAGAGACAAGAAACCCTCAAGAAAAGGTGCCAACTTGGAGATCACAGAAATCCAGCTAATGCTGACCCAAGTAATAAATCAGTTAGAAAGTTAGAAAAATTAGCCTTTTAAATACAGAATGATGATTGTGAAGTGTTASCAAAGAATGGGGTGGACAGAGCAGAGGCTCTGCTTGATTGAGTTATGCACTGTTACAACACATGGAAACACCTGCCCGGTGCAGACCAGGTGCAGGCGCCTGCATTTCTTTTAAATTAACCAAAACAGTTGGAGCTGATTTCAGTTTCATCCTGCCTGAATGAGGACAGATGAGCCAGCCAGCGAAGTGTCTATTGGACTGCTACCAACAGACCTCATCTGATAGACATCCTCCTTGCACAGAATTGACCTGTTCCAAGTTGGGCAAGATTTTCACTGACAGAGTGATTGTAGAAGCACTGCAATTTTTATTGCATGACCATAGGATTCTTCACTGACACAAGGAGATTTGATATTTGATTTTCCACATTGCTGATCCATACCTCTAGAAGCACCAATTAATTCCTACCCCTGCTACTCAATCTCTAGTTCGGAGAYACAAAAATATATGCTTACTCAGATTGGAAAAAATAAATGTCTCATATCTTCCAAATTGATCTATGACACCCTATTGGCAAAACAGTAGGAAAGTCCCTTTCACAAGCCTTAAAAAGGTAAAAATGTTTCACTAYCAAGACAGGGAACTGGCAATAGTCTGTAAGGAGGTATAAAATTGCCAGCTTTCCTACGGCTCATAAATATTCAGGTTAGAGAAGAGATACAGCTGGCCTGGCCTGACCTGAAAAAGCAAAATATTTCTGTCCCATTCCAGAATGTGCTTTTGTTTTAAGGTCTCTTTCTAATCCCCTGAGAAGATATTTCCATGTGTTGATAGTCAAGAATTTAAAAACTTGGACCAGCTTCAACAAATCTCGGTCAAAGTATTCAGCAATTAATCGGGCTGAACTTTTCAACCCGGATTTATGGATTTAGGGAGTGTGGGTGTTATCCGATATACTGCTTTTCATTACTTTTAAGAAAGACACTCTAATATCAGCTAGAAAAAAAAAAAAAGAAAAATCCCCAACTGTCTGCAATCTAAGAATATTTTATATATGTWAAGAACCAGGACTATATGTGGAAAACACCACCAAGAGATAGTAAATAAAGATTTCTTAAAGAGAGATAAAGTGTGCCAAAAACAAACATGTCTTTTTTTCTTTCTGTGACTACTGTTTGTGCCTGCCCATGTTTTATGCTGTAGCTCTTGAAGCTGTTGACCAATGTTAACAAAAGTCTGACAGATGGATAAAAGTTGAAACTTAAATTCCTACAAGTTTTCTGAAAAAAAACATGTTTGGGTAGAAAAAAAGATCCCATGAGTGCTCTCATTGAGACGAAAACTAGAGTATTTTTTCCATGACAGTAACAGACACTAGAAAACATATTTGAGAGAGTTCTTACAAGAAGATAAATTTCAGATGAAGTGTGTGCAATGTATGACTGAGCATAATTCAGCCATGAAACAGTAAAAAAAATCAGGCTTCCTCTCCTCATTAAACTGTATGTATGCAGAGGTAAATAAATACATGAGAAATACAYACACAAACACACACATATGTATGCATTCATTTTTATRTAAATCTTTTTACACATTGCATTTACTTTTTCATGTGAACAAAGTAGATAAACYGTACTATGTTTGGGAATGAAACCAGCATTTTTATTACATGTATGAAATGGACTCCAATTTGTTTGCATGTTTGATATAAGCTAAAAATGCAGAATTTAGAACAAAAAACTTAATGAAGTGACAGAGTTATGAGAAAAGGTCACATMCAGGCCTCTGCATCTGGCAGTGGTCTCCACACTTACATCTGCATTACAACCTGAAAAGTTCCACATAGCTCTCACATCAAATCTTTCTTTGCAAGTCTCGTCTTGGCCACCATTATTTCTCTACACTGAGAAAAGCTTCACTGGGAACCAGATGGTCTTAATTTCTTTCTATCCCACCCTCCCAATTAAAGGCAACCCTCCTATAACTGACAGGGTTACACCAAAGTGGAACCACAGGTGTGGACAAGAGGACAGCCAGGTCTCTGTCTCTGACACTCCTGTAGTTTATCAGCAGGGGTGCATCAATTTACCTAAGCATCAATTTACCTAAGTTAAACTTAAGCCTCCTCAAACACTGCTAATACTCAAATTCTGACAGCACCAGGCTCTGAGAGGATGGAATTGACGCCAGATTTTCACACTGTTTTAGCTATAGCACAAAGAGCCCACAAGACAACAATTCTGTACAGAAATCTATTCTGAATTCAGATCAGGGGAAAAATTTCTTCACCATCTTTCTAGTTTTTATGATAGTATATGGGTAATGTAATAACTAATTTGTTCTTTATTTTAAAAGAACAAATCTTTTCCACCAATAGCCCCCAGARTGATAACATGTGTCTGAAAGACACMTTTGGGCACAGRCCATTTCATTAACTGGAACYGATTCAWGCTRATGATTATGAAACTTTCACAGAGAAATTAAAAGCTTCATATACTCAGTGGTAGGAGGCACCAGCAGGCAGTACAAAAATAATGCCATTTCTCTCACACCTATTATAAATTATCCRTATGCCAACAGGTTATTGGAGAAATTTACTTTTTCTAGAAAAAAACCAGCATTTTATTGGCTATGTCACTGGTGAACACTCATCACACCTACGGTTTCGTACTTCTTTCAGGAAATCCATCCATCATGTACCCATGTGCTTAACTGCTCAACATTTGGTTGACTCTGGCTTTTTTAATACTTTCCTTGCAGATCCTATGGTACAGAAACCATTGCAAATACAGGAAATACCTACAGTAATYCTGTGTTTAATGCAGTCCATAAGTTGCCTTTGGGAGACAGAAGGGGGTGAAAACTCTCTCTGTGAAATGTGAACATTAAACTATAAGTGGATTGTGAGATAAAGCTACTGTGCCAGCACGCAGGCCAAAA